GAGGTCTAATCTTTTTAAGTTCTTTATAGATTTGAGATAGTAGACCTTTGTCTGAGGGACCGCTGGTGAAAATTTTTTCCCACATTGTGGGTTGTTTCTTCACACTGCTGGTGGTTTCTTTTGCTGTGTAGAAGCTTTTTTGTAAAAAGAGATCCCACTTGTTGATTTTTTTTGCTAGTTCAGGGGAAACTGAGGTTTTGTTCATAAAGTCTTTTCCTACCCCAATGTCTTGAAGAGTTCTACCTAACCTCTCTTCCAGCCAGTTCAGTGTTTCTGTTTTTATATTTAGATCTTTAATCCATTTTGATTTTAGATTAGTGCATGGTGTGAGATATAGGTCTAGTTTTAATCTTTGGCAAGGTGAAACCCAATTTCTCCAACACCATTTATTAAAGAGACTTATCTTTCTTCCAGTGAGGGTGTTTGGCTCCTTTGTCAAAGATGAGTTGGCTGAGTGTGTCCGGAGTTGTTTCTGCATCTTCTAATCCACTGGTCCTCAGGTCTGTTTCTTTGCCAGTACCATGCTGTTTTTATCACTGTAGCTTTGTAGTATAGTTTCAAGTTGGGGGTTGTAATACCCCCTGCCATGTCTCTGTTACCTCAATTACTTTTGCTATTCTGGGTCTCTTCTTGTTCCAAATGAATTTTTCGAGAGTTTTCTCAATTTTCTGTTCTCATCTTCATATATCTCTGCATGTGCTTGCACATAGAGCAGAATGTGTTCTCGGTTTTCACTTCTCCCAGAGCAGTCCCTGTAATTTGATTGATGTGTCTGTGATTGTTTCCATTTGACTGACTGACTGAATGGGTGGGTGGGCAAAAGTCTGTGTTTTTTGACGTTCCATGATTTTTCTTTTTTTATATAGGAAGAAGCAACCCAGGCAGCAATCAGAAAAGAAGAAAATGGGACTTGTGTTTTTAAAAATGCCTCACAGGAGCAAACAAATGACAAATTGATGCATGTTCACAAAGGGTACAAAGATTATAAAAGTGGTAAGTTAGTGAATATCTGTGAAAGTTCTTTGTTTATATACTAGTACTTTTTAAAGTCTGTAGATCCAAAAACATGATACCCATTTCTTTAAAAACTTTTCTTTTCCTATTTTCCTTCCACAAACTTCTTCCTGAAATTGCTTCAACCCTCAGAAATTCTTTTTTACTGTTACTTTTATGTTCTTGAAATACTCTTGAAAACACCCTGCCTGTCTCGCAGGCACAAGGTCCCGAGTTCACCAAAAACCAAAAAAGAAAAATCACAAAAAAAATTCATGAATGCAGATAGATTTGTACGTATATTTAAAATCCACAGCAGTAAATCTTCACATTAATGTGTCTGTGGGTACATTTTATAGGTGTGTTGTCTGCCCCGGGATTAGGAGAAGATGCTGAATCATTACCTTGGGATTCCGAGGTATTGTCTATTGTTTATAACTATTTTTAAAATAAGCATTAAGTGAGACTTAAGTATGAAGGAGAATAATTGGACTTTACTTGCTCACCTCTGCATGTGCCTGTAAGAAATTATTTCCTCACATTTTTTAACCCGTAGTTAATAAAGTAATCCCCTGGACAAGATGGCACGTGTCTATAATCCCAGCACTCTGGGAGGCTGAAGCAGGAGGATCCCAACCTCAAACCCTGGACAGTTTAGCAATTTAATAAGACTGTGTTTCAAAAAGTAAAAGGACTAGGGTTGTAGCTCAGTATGGAGGCTCTGGTTTTAATACCCTGTAGTGCAGATGAAGGAATGAATGAAGTCTAAGTACAGTACTGCTACATAGTACATTTCTGCTAATTTGTAGGATTCATTTAATGAAGCCAGTGCAGTTAGAAATTAAGGCTTAGATGTCACAAACAGTCAGCTTGGATTCTGACATTGAGTTGATGTAAAAACTAAAGAATTATTCCAAATCAGCCTATGGCTAGTGAAATTCAGAGAAAATGTTTGGATCATAATTTTTACAGCTTGTAACTTAAAAAGTTAATGAGTGGGAATTGAAAGTGTTAGTATACTTGGATTGCCAACTATTATGGTTTGGGTCTGGATGTCCCCCACAAAGCTTCATTAGGCCCGAGGTAACTGAATCTGGAATGTGTGATGTTGGGATCAAGGGCACGTGATTCCTAAAGCGCCACATGTGAGTGGTTTAGCACCGCCCTAATCTCGGGTAGTCTGACTGGGATAAAAGGCAGAAAGATGCGGTGAAGGTCCCTTGTTGCTTTTGCTACCTTGTGGCTTCCATGTTGTTTCTCTTTTGTGATGCCTGTTGGCCATCCCTGCCTTGGAGCCAGCCAGCTATGGACTGAAACCTCTACAAACTGTGCGCAAAATAAGCCCCTTCCCCTCTAACTTTGGGTGTCGGGTATTTTGTCTCAGCAATGAGAGAAAAGTAACTGACACAGCAAGTATAGATCCGCAAGGAACAGTTCAGGAGAAGGAAGAGATTGGGGAATTGTAAATACATAGGATTATAGTCACAGTTGGGTTTTGTCATGTTTTAAAAAGCTGAAACCAGTTTTGAATGTGGAATGCATTGAGTGCCCCCTTTATGGCAGCCATGCCTGTAGTGACAAAAGTGTAACTAATGACAGCTTACTTTAAGAGGACCATTGTGGGGAAGGCCTGATCTCTCAGGTGTGAGCAGCTGCTGTATATCGCCTGACGAGGCTCGAGAATTTTGCGGGGGTTTGTAGTTAGGCTAGGAAAGAGAGTGAATTGCTGTCAAATTAAGGACGAGGAGAAGCCAGGCGTGTCCGAGTGTAGGAGGACATATTCTGGACAGAGAGCAGTGAGTCACATCTGTCCATCGTTTTCACGTCCTAGAGTGAGCAGGAAGCAGGAAGTACAGTAACTGTCGTCGTAATCACTTACAGAAAAGACAGTGTATAAATAAGTACTTGGTACATTTTAGACATGTAAGAAAAGTTCTTATGCTCCCCTTTTCATTAAGGTTTTTTATACTTTTTTGAAGTTCTTAATTTTTAAAGAGTTGCATGTAGTGTCTAAGAATTGTGTGCTATTATTTGAGTGTAACATAAACTTATTAGTAGTACATTTATATTTTCGTCCATTTTTCCTATCAGTAAAATTTTTACCAAAAACATTAGATTTTTTTTCTGAAGCCCTTGTTTGTATAAATGGAGCAGCTTCTATAATGTTTCTGCTCAATGTGAAACACTGAAGTTTCTCTGCTTGCCAAGTATTTTAACACTAAAATGACTTCTGTGATTAGAAATATTTAAGGCTGAATTATAGCAAATGTAGTTACAAGAATCTGTTTAATCAGTGAAGGGAAAGGGACAGTAGGTGGTAAAGAGAGTGAAGGAGATCAAGAAATGATAACATACGTACCAGTTCCCCAAAACATTCACTCAT